GAGATAATTTAGAAATTTTTGTGACAATTTTGCCAACAGTTTATGACTATAATTTATTACTACAGATTGCGGAGAAAAGGTCTAGAATACACCGCTGTGGCATAAAAACTATTTTGAGCAGAAGACATTTGAGTTCTTGAAGTCTCTTACCTGCCTAAAAGCAGAGCCTCCTCAAAGAATTCAAAGAACATCAGTTATCATAAATCCACTCCTTGGGACAGCTAGAGGTGAGAAGTACCTACACCACACCTAGATAGACATTTGTCACAAAGCTGTCTTATCTCATGTGGGCCTGAGGTCTCATTCATCTCTCCAGAAAACCCTTTTGTTTTCCCTTAAGTGTCCTTCTCCTCCTTCTCTTCCCCATTAAGACGAGATATAAGTCCCAAATTTTAACCACCCCTCTGAGTCACATTTTTCGGTGAAAGCCTGTACGTATGTTGATACAAATGCGTGATTAAATTTTGTCTTGTCTCTTGCTAACTGTGTCAGTTTAATTCACAGTCCTCTAAGAACAAACCTAAGAGTTTAGAGGGAAAGTTTTTTTCTTTTCTGGCAAGGGTCTAAGGTAGATTAAGAGGAGAGAAAATGCTAACACTTACCTACTCTAAGAATGGATAATACTCTGCAAGGCGTAAGCAAGTGGAAAGTTGCAAGATTGCTTGGTATCTTTAAAATGTAAACTTTATACAAATCATACAAATCAATGTTTTTACGCTGCCCTTCAAGCTATTCCTGATGCGTTACATTTTACATAATACCCATATTAAGCTTGACTTCTTGATTAGAAAGCAGGACAAGAGAAAAAGGGTGGATTAAGGGGTAAAGACTAGACACCGAAAATCCAGGATCTGAAAAGGCTGTGCAGTGTGCATTTGGAGGAGGTGCAACTCTGTTACTGCCCACTGACAGATTATATCAAATTATTGTTTAATCTGCTAATACACATGATATTCCTTTTGATAATTAAATTATTTTAAGATTTAAACTAGTTGTTACTAAAAATATACAAAATATTTAGACAACAAGCAAAATGAATGAACCAAACATTTGGCTGAATCTCAACAATTTAGTAAATAGTAACTGGAAAACATAAGTGCCCAACTTTTACATAAAACATTCCTCCCTTTTCATAAAATTTAAGACAACTACAATAAAAAAAAAATACAATCCTTAGGAATCCATTTGCTGCAATAAAACTCTGTATGAAAGAAAGCAGGAAAATGATGAATTCAGGATGAAGGTGATCATGACTGGAGAGGTGGCCAGGGGATGGCATGGTTGTGAGGAAACCATATGGTTTGGGGCGCCTGGGTGGCTCAGTCGGTTAAATGTCTACCTTTGGCTGAGGTCCTGATCCCAGGGTCCTGGGATCGAGCCCCACGTCAGGCTCCCTGCTCCGCGGGGAGATCTGCTTCTCCCTCTTCTTTTGCCTCTCCCTGCCCCACTCCTTTTCTCTCTCTCTCTCTCTCTCTCAAATAAACTTTAAAAAAAAAAAAAAAAAAAAAGAAGCAACAAAGAGCCGGCAAGTACACTCCCAGAGAAAACAAAGGAGGTTAAGCGTCAAGTTGCTGGTGTTTACAGTGATATAAGAAGAGCCTCTTGAGTAACTTGCACTAGAAACAGTAAAGTCTTTGAAAAGCAGAGTCAAGTCTTAAGCAAAAGGCCTGAAAGCTATTAGTAATGGAAACCCACATCTTCCTCCCAGCTCACCCTACGTTGCTCTCCCCTCAGAGCCGCTGAACAGACAAGTCTTGAAACCCTTTCTCTCTGCTGTGAGCTCCTCAGCTTAGACCAGAGCAATCAGACAGGCTGGTGAGGGCAGAGGGCTCTGAACAAATACTCACCTACCTCTCCACCCTCTAGAAAACCACAGAAATCTCAAGGGCCCGAATCCAGCTGAAGAGAGACTGGAGTTTCTCTTTCTCATAAGAGAAATGGGTATAAAAACTTTGTAAGTCTAGACCCTAAATGGGGAGAAGAATTTGTCAATTTCTTATTCACAGTCTCTTCCTAGGACAATGATCCCACTTCAGTCTTCCCAATGGAGACGGCAGCTCTCAATCTCCAAGCAAGCAACCCCCTTAGCTCCTCCGAAGAAAAGATGCCCCCACCTCTTCCCCAAACAGTCCACTTCCTCAATGTCACCCTAAGGCAGTTACAAATCTCACAACCCAACTTGACCTGCGTGTGCAGAAAATAGGCAGGAAATAGAGATGAAAGAGGAAATTACACACCTTGCAGTTGCACTGAGGGACTTAGATTTCATTGCCTGATTTGGCTCCTGGAATTCCACACCACCCCCACTGCCCCTCTCCACCAACTGAGTTGCCACCATTTCTTCAATGAGCAATTAGATTTAATTAACATTTCACCTCACTTTTGGACCAACCAGAAGTGTACTGGTAAATGTTTAGCAGCTGGCTCTATGGGAAAAAAAGAATCTGTAAGATTTGTCCATTTCCATGGTGTAAATACTCCCACTATGGCTGATTTCAAGCTACCAATATGATGTCACTGAATACAGAGTCAGGAAATGGATGTGCACAATCAGCAGCTTTGAGCAGGCTTCCTCACACCACTAACTGTAATACTTTCATTATAATTTATCATTATTTTGGTATGTAGCTCTATAATTGGCCAATATTTTACAGCTATGTCTCAGTTTCTTCATTTTTATTTATTTATTTACTTACTTATTTACTTATTTATTTAAGCAGGCTCCACACCCAGTGTGGAGCCCAACACCAGACTTGAGCTCAAGATCCTGGTGAGTCCTGGCTCAAGACCTGAGCCAAGATCAAGAGTCAGGTGCTTGGGGCACCTGGGTGGCTCAGTCGTTAAGCATCTGCCTTAGGTCGGGGTCCTGGGATCGAGCCCCCCGGGTCCTGGGATCGAGCCCCACATCGGGCTCCCTGCTCAGCGGGAAGCCTGCTTCTCCCTCTCCCACTCCCCCTGCTTGTGTTCCCTCTCTCGCTGTGTCTCTCTCTGTCAAATAAATAAATAAAATCTTAAAAAAAAAAAATCAGAATGCTTAACCGACAAAGCCATCCAAGCGCTCCAATAACTTTGTTTTTAAACATGATAAAAGAAGACCCACTTCTCCAGATGATTGTGAGAATCCAAGTAACAGGTACATAAAGTTTTTGATTCACATCAACCCTACATCCCTTACTTCCTTTCCTTCTTCTTACATTATGCCTTCTTCCCTCTTCCTCACTGCAAAGGCCCAATCCCACCAAGGACCCAAGCCCAGGAAGTATTGCTTGGAGCCCTGGAGACAGAGAAGTGCTCCAGTTGATGGCAAATTGGATTGCCAAGAGGACATTTTCTTACAGAAAGATGTTAGCAGACTCTATATAACATTGCAGTCTACCGGCAAAGGGCTCTGTATCTGGCATTCCCAGAGTGGTGCCCTTGGAGATCCTTGCAGAAGTGGACAGCAGGTCCTACCCGGTGACAGATCCTATACAACAGTGAGCAGATTCTCTGATAGCACTGGCACCACATAGCACCGTAACTAGAACATGGGTTAAATAGGTTTTTGTGTGGTTGCCCCATTTCCTATGGAAGGCATTTCTGGGGGAAAGTGCATTCCCAAATCGAAACCTATTTAACCCATGTTGAATTCAGCCTGTTAATATTTGGGGGCCTATAAATATATAAAAATACAGTCCCTGTGCTAACAAAGAGATAATATAGGAGGTTTAAAAATGCTTCCTCCTACCGGGCGTCTGGGTGGCTCAGTCACTAAGCGTCTGCCTTCGGCTCAGGTCACGATCCCAGGGTCCTGGGATCGAGCCCCGTGTCGGGCTCCCTGCTCAGCCAGGAGCCTGCTTCTCTCCTTCCCGCTCCCCCTGCTTGTGTTCCCTCTCTTGCTGTCTCTCTCTCTTTCTCTGTCAAATAAATAAATAAATAAATCTTAAAAAAAAAATCGTCCTCCTTCAACTATGAAGTTATTCTTTCTTTATAGTCAATTTCTAGAAAGAGTGATATTGACTTCACCTCACACAGTTTCTATCCACTTCCCTGACAAGCTCCAGCAGAAATCACCCAAGGGTTCCAAAGTAGTTTTGAATATATATCCACAAATTCTTTGATACTTCTCCTCTAAAGAAGGGGAGTATAATGTCCCTTCTCTTGGCCATGGTTTTTCCTTAGAGATGTGCTTCAGGTGAGCAGAATATGGCACAAATGGTTGGTTATATCACTTCCAAGATTAGGTTATAAAAAGACCTCAGCTCTTGGATCATTTGCTATGGAGAAAACTACGTCTTGAGCAATCCCTTAGAGAGGCCCACAGGGAAGGACCTAAAGCCTCCAACCAACAGTCATGTGAGTGGCCATCTTGGAAGTTGACCCTCTAGTCCCAGTCAAACCTCTAGAGACTGCAGCCCTGCCTGACAACTTGACCTCAAATTCACAACAGACTCTGAGCCAGAACCACCTAGCTAAGCTGCTTCTGGATTCCTGACCCTCAGAAACTGCAAAATAATAAATGTTTGCTGTTTTAAGCTGCAAAATTTGGGGGTGATTCATTATACAGTAATGGTAAACTAATACAGCTTCCTAGAGGACAGACCCCATGATTATGTTTTTATCCTTTACTTGACTCAAATTCTACTATGTATAACACCTCCTTTTCTTTTTTCATATTCCCTTTTGGAACCACGAAGGACTGTTCTTCTCCCTTATCTTCTGTGTAGTCCCACCTCTCATCATCCTTTCTTGGCCTCCTCCTCTCTGGGGTTCCCAGAATTCGGCTTTGATTCTTTTCTCATTCTACGTGCACTGCCTCATGCACTCTCATGATTGTGATGAACAACTGTATTCTTTTTTTTTTTTTAGAACAACTCAACAAAATAAAATTCCAGTTTTTTGTTGGACAACATTGTTTCACACATACAAACAGGCCAAAAAAAAAAAATAAACAGCAACTTCATAGACAAAAAAGGAAAAAAAGGAACCTTTATCTTTGGCCTTCTTAACCATCCCATAAAAACCAACTACTTATAGTACAGCTAAGTTCATACACAAAAAAAGTTACTGGAATGCTCGGAATAAAATTGTTTTTTTTGTTGTTGTTTTTGCTTTTTTTACAGGGTTTTTTTTCTCCTTTGAGATTATAATGAACATGGCCACACCACAAGTAAAGTCAGAAGTAGGACAGAGAACGCTCCGAAGGCTGGTTTGGTCATCCGAGATCATTAAAAATGGCTGACCCCTAACAACATGTACAAAAATATAAAATGTAAATAAAAAATACAAACCAATTTTCCTTTTTAAAGTACTTTTAAGAAAAAAGCAGGGTCTTGGAAGTTTTGGTTCTTTTCTCCTCGCCTGTTGCAGATTCACGCTGTGGTTTTGGTTGGATGGCGGAGAGTATGTGTCACCTGCGGGTGGCGCTGCGCGGGACCCTCTACTCGAAGGTGACCGCGTTTAGATTCTGAGACGGGAAGTGGAGGGTGAATAGGTCACGGTGGCCTTTTTTGTGTGTTAAGTTATCTCTTCCTTTTTTGCTCTCTAGTCATGCTCAACAGTCTTCCGCTTCTTGGTGTCAACACCGTCATCCTCATCTTCAGCCGCCCGTTTGCCCGTAACTGCCTCGGCCTCCTCACTTCCTCTCCGTCCTCTCTTCCTCACCGTCGCCTTCCTCCTCCTCCTCCTCTTCCTCCCCCTTCTTCCTCTTCTCCATCTACCTCCTTGTCGGCCTCCTGCTCCTCATTTTCCTCCTTAGCGTTCCCATCAGCAGGCGCCGTCTCTTCCCGTCTCTGCCTCCGGCACAACTTCCTTCTTCTCCTTTCGGTCCTCGGTGGTGATCTCGGAGCTGGTGTCCACGGCCGCGTGCGACATGATGGGGCGCGCCGGG